AATTTGGCCTTTGGCCATGATTTTTAACTTGTTTTTTAATGTGGATATATTTGAAATAAATAAAGTGAAATAAATGGCCAAATCAGCATGTTACTATCTAGTATACTTTGATTGCATTTGTTTTCTGTAGAGGACGTATCTGTACCAACCGTTTGCGTGGCAGTGGAGGGTGATCCCAATACCATCATTACAGTGCACCAAGCGGTCATGCATGGTATTCCAACTGTAATTGTTGCTGGATCCGGACGTGCTGCAGATATTTTTGCATTGGCTGCACAAAGAGCGACAGAAGTTGAAGTTAAAGATAACTGTGGCAGTAAAAAGTAAGTAGTCTTTAAGTTGTTGCTTTATTTCTACTTGCTTTTTATTATAAATGGAAGAAAAGACCATTGTGACCCAGGGCCATTGTCACCCAGTGACAGATTCTTGTATCTGAAATACAGTGGTGGGGTCATGGAGACTTATAGAGGGTCCAGATCAACTCAGCCTCACAACATGTCTGTGGCTTAGGAAAGAAATGATGGTTTAAAGCACCTGTTTTCTAGATGGCTAAACACGGTACTCCCATGCTTAAATTTAAATGTTTTTATTTTTTCTCTCTTGTTTTGATTTCCAAATAAATAGGGGAGAGGGTACGGCTAGCTGGCTATTCCTCTTAAATCCGTCCCTAATTCCTTCAGCACTAATGTAGTAGTAGTAAACCTCTAGTCTGTTACAAAGGTGTATGTATGTTGAAGAAAAACATTATGAAAACCATGGGGAAGTAATTAAAGGGAATAAATGTTATTGCTGTTTTGTTTCTCTTTGTCATCCAAAATAATCACATTATTGCTTACTGTAATATTATAATTTGGTAGTATTATAGGAAAAAATAATTAAACATGGCATATCATTATCTGACAGAAAAAAGAAAATCATCAGTGACAGCTTGAGGGTAGAATTAGCAAAACGAATCAAGAACATTGATGAAAAGGAATTTGATGAGCAGGACATCGAGAGGCATTTAAATCGCATACAAGAATGTGTTCAGAAGACTAACCTCTTTAATGTGTATGACATGGACTCACCAGTCGACAAAGATATTGACGAAGCTATTTTACATGCTTTACTGAGAGGTATTAAAAACTTATTTCAATAGTAATTTGCTTGATTTTGAGATCCATTATAGGGGTGTAGGTCTGGTGCAGCATACTACAAGAAATTCATTTTGAAAAGTGATTTGGAAAAATACAAATAAATAACTGTGGGGTTTTCGTAGTATATAGATTTTGTTCCATATTCACAATTTTCACATCCCTCAGGCCAAAACTAGCATTTACACCCTTGCATTAAACAGTTTTAAAGTCATACCAAAATCATTTTGCTGGACCAGTATGTTTATTTCAGTGTATATACAATATTATTAACATAATAACTGTACATTCAATTTCTATAATACTTTTATCATGTGGCAATAAGGTATTTTCTTATATTATCCCTTATGAATGTAATTTTTGATATGAGAAATTAAGTTTGAAAGTATGATTAAGGATCATTCTGACCTGTAGCTAATAAAGGAAGCAAGCAAGACCAGTTGAAATTGACACTTGTATGGAATCGTATTGACATTGCTAAGAGTGAACTTTTCACCGATGACAAAGATTGGAAGGTATGTATGAAAAAAGACATGTACCTGTAATTTTATTCTAATTTTTTTCTTCACACGTTTTTCCTATCTTTTGCATGGGGTTTACCTGACCTCTGAAATCAAGATGGAAACGAAAAGCTTTATCTTAATAGTGTATTAGAATAGGCCTATTCAGTACAGCATTAGGCCTATTCTTAATACACTATTTTTAGATAGGCTTTTCTTTTTTCATCTTGATTTCAGAGGTCGAAACAAATTTACAATGTTTTTTTCAATCATGCAGTGGTGTAGAATAGTCTTTAAGAACATTTTCCAGGAAAAAATAATGTGATACATCCCTCTCATATGGAGTTACAAAATTTTTAAATAACATGAGGTCAAGAAATCTTATTTTTGTTGTTTATGCACCACTGACTTAAGTTGTTTGTCATCACTTGTAGGAATTAGTTTAAACTAATTCCTCCATGGTCATCACTTCAAAAATTTTGGCGTTTGTGAGCAATGCATTTTAATTTTATATAGGTAAATAGTAAGTATATGAATAATTTTAATGCACTAGTTAGCTGATAACTTCATTCCGACTTTTTTTGTCTCTTTTTTCTGCATTTTATTAGCGGCTAGCCTAGGCACGGGCCTAGGCTAGCCTATTTGATGTTCACTGTAATACTACAAAAGAAAATCACATCAATTTAAAATCAAATTTGTGAACATACTAGCCTTTAACTAGCAGGCGATTTTGGTAGATTAGTTTGTTTTTAAGTGTGTAAATATGATTGATTTGCATGCCAAGACAAATTAGTACCCTTATTTTGCTTTGTTTTACCGTACCGTAATTCTCGGCTAGGCCAGCTGTACGCCTAGCCGATACTCAGTGTGGCTAAGGAAAGTTTTTGTTTTTCTAAGCATGTGCAGATTGTGCTTATCTGGCTCATTAGCATAACAATACTACACATAAGGCTAATTCAAGTTAAATGGCTTAAACCAGCCAGCTTCCTATCCTGGTAACGATTGTAAGTCCTTGATTCAAAGAGGATCGAGATAGATGTAATTTTCAATGTGTAAACATTTAAAGTAAATTGCTTCAGTAATTGTTTAGTTAATTGAGCCCAGAAGTACACACAGACGTGCTACTGCACCCCTCTTTCAGAGGCAAGGGTAAAAATAAAGGTGGAGGAAATATGTGGGCTTTCATTTTTTTTTTTCAAAATGGCTGACAAAATAGACAAAAATATGAGAAAAATCGAAATGTCATTATAATATCATATTAATGAATAAACTTAAAATTTCCTGGTTCTGCACGAAAGTCTTCAAGGTTTAACAACCAATACATGTATTATTTTATAAAACAATGATAATATTTCATAAAAATGGCCGCCATTTTGGATTTTAAAATAACATCATATAAAACATAATATTTCTGCTTCTAAACCACATGGAATTAGTAATTCTAATGTCTAAGAATATGTTTTTATGGTCAACAAATACTAACATACAATTTTTGACCTCGTCAGGTAGTTTTAAATACGTTTTCAAGTAAAATATTGAAATAATTACGCGTCGTGTTTTTAATCAGAATCATACTTAACCTCAGGATCACTTTTGTGGCCGTCTTGGATTTCAAATTTAGAAGTACAATTTTTTAATATTTCAGCTTTCAATTATGATGTCTAAAATTATATTTTCGTGATCAAATGTGTGTACCATTTGTTACATGTTCAGATCATAGATATCTAGGTCATAAATTGGTCAATTATAATTATATACAAATTAGTATAAAAAATAAACATTTTACTTTAATACTTACATTAAACATATACATCTTTTTGACCTCGTCAGGTTGTTTTAAATACGTTTTCAGGTAAAATATTTTATGAAATAATTACGCGTCGAGTTTTTAATCAGAATCATACTAAACCTCTTGGAATTCAGGATCACTTTTGTGGCCATCTTGGATTTCAAATTCAAAAGTGCAATTTTTAATATTTCAGCTTTCAATTATGATGTCTAAAATTATATTTTCATGATCAAATGTGTATACCATTTGTTTATGTTACATAAATAGATCAATTATAATTATATAAAAATAAACATTTTACTTTAATACCGGTACTTACATTAAACTTATACATCTATAATGGTAATTAATAGGAGACAGATATATAATTATATAAGGAAGGTAAGTAAACAGCAAAGGAAATGTAAAAAAGGATTAGGAAGCATGAGGTGTTAAAGAAGAATTATCTTTCTTTTAATTGATGCTTTTTTTAAACTTTTATTAACAATTTTGGATGTAACTTTTTTAATGGGAGTTTTGTAATATTTTGATTATGCTTATATTTAAATAAAATATAAATTAGATTATATTTTCTGTTATAAATAATAAATAAAATAAAATTATATAATATAATTACATTATATGATCCCATTGGATTATAATTGTAAAAAGCATTATCATAATATTTATATTACCTGTAATCAATAATAATTATTAAATTTTATATAGTTATGCTTAAAAATAAGTTATAAGTAATTTTATATACGTTTTATGTTTATGTGCACATTTTACTTTATGTGCTTTTTTATTACAGTAATAGTAATACTATTGACACTAGGTCTAGATAATTATTATTTACATTAATTAGCAACATATGAATAATTAAATCCTGGTTTTTAATTCCTCAAATTTAACATCCCTTATTATAGTCTGACTACAGTGGAAGATCAACAAACTGTACAAATTGTATTGTTAATTACCCCTGTTCAATAACAATACGTACGCCTGCACACGACAACAAACAATTCTGAATACATACCCAATGTTCTATATAGTTTTATACACGTTAACTTAAATAGCATGGAGGAATTAGTTTAGTGTGCCCTGCTATAATGACACAGTATGTGAAAATATACCAGACTTTAAAAAATTAATTATTAAACATTTGTGAAGTAGGCCTATCAATGAGACTATAGTAGTGGTATTTTGATAAGTTGATAAAACATGCAGCTGTAATGATATACGTGGATAGTACATTATATTTATTTATTTTAACAATATTTTGTGGGGGTTGTCCATCCAGCCAGATAAATTTGGACCCTCAGTAAATACAATTAATGACAAAAGAATAAAAATTAAATTGGATCTTTAACGTAATCAAATTAATTATATGAAAATATAATTTGAAAAAAAAAATATTTAAAAAACATAAATATTGTACCGTAAGACTACTTACTGGTTAGAATATGCATAAAAATAGTATTAAGGAGGACACTCTTTTGAGAAGTTTGATTTGTTTAATTGTTCTTTAGAAAGGAGAACTTTATTCAGCTCTGCATTATTCCTTGGTGCATAATCAAGTAGATTTCGTGAAGTTGTTTCTTGAGTGTGGCGTCTGTTTAAAGGGCTTTTTAACTGTACAGGAGTTGACTCATTTATACAATGAGGTAGGTTGTCACTACTGTAAAAATACTTTTTCTTTCACAAGAACGCAAGTTTTTAAAATGTTAGGCTTAAAGTACTCCTTAATAATCACTCATTCACCATTGCTCATGAAAATAATGTTTAGATTTTTATGATTAATGTGAGAGAGCAAAGTTTAGCTATATCATTGTTGTTTTCATATTGTTGATGTGAGCTTTCATTCTTGTTTTCATATTACAGTATATTTTTCACACCACTCTTGGTGATGCTAAGAGGAATATAATATATTAAGAATGTAATAAATATATAACTTATCTTTTAGGTAGTTTTGTCAGTTATTTATACATATTTTATCTTTTAGGTGAAAGAGAAAACACTTATTTACAAGTACTTGAATAAACAGAAAGGAAAGGTTTGTTATTGCAATACAATGAAACTTGTCTAAAAGGAAACCATTACCTATGTCTTACCTGTAATGGTGAATTTTGATAGCAAACCAGAATTGTGACACGTCGACTCAGCTGTCACCGTAGAGTTTAACTGTCGTCATGTGCTCTAGAAAAAGTAAAAACACCATTAATAAAGATATAAACCTTGATTAATTATTTTAATAAAATTTAAATTAACATTGAAACAATATTGTAGTAAATACATCACAATAAACTGAAATTTTGTCATTGAAATATGCAATTTATCTGATAGAAAATCTATGTGCAGAGTCGAAACTGTGCAAGGAAATTTGTATCACTGTGAACATCTAACTCATTAAGTGTAAATGATAATTTTTGTCACCATTGTTGAATCGAGTTATCCCACGTGTTTACAACAGTCTTTACAAATCTGACAAGCTACGCGTACTACAGACAATTTTTCAAATAGCCCTATATTATATTTTTAGGATACAAGAAAGTTTAATCTGGCTGATGTTGGGAAGATAATTGTAGAGATGACGATGGATTCATACGAGCCGCTTTACCTCACAGACCGTTACTTTCCAAAATCACCGACAGACATCTCAGGTAGCAAAGTTTGTGGGGCTCTTATATGAAATACCTGGACCATGTGGGCAGGCCCATACTACACTTAACCCTTATGGGGCCTGTATGGGCTACACCATATGGTATTTAATTATAAGGGTCTCGTAAGTGTGGATATGGGAACATATAGGTAATCCCATTTGGGACCCACAAGAGAAAAAAAAGTGTGAACCGATATGAGCTATTTCTGGGTCAGCCCTGTGAGCAAAGTAATGGATTATCATATATGTGTGCTATAAGGGCTAAACATTTTGGATATATATGTTAAAAGTATTGACAGGACTAGATAGTTCAGCACATTTGGAGCCCTTTAAAGCAAAAAATGGGAACATTACGTCATACCATGGAGGTATAATACCTCCATGGTCATGCAGTAGTAGCGTTACTAATTGCTACATTAGGCATCCTGAACACGCATAAACATTCAGAATGTGTGTTTACTGTATAGTTCAATAAATTCATTGTTTGACCAAGAATATTTATTTTGGATATGCATGTCAGGATTTTAAGTGGAACTTCTTTACCTATTTAACAAAGAAATTATCATTATTATCACAATATGTTAGATAATTATCATTCTGTTATATTATTAATAAAAGTTCAATACTAATTTAGTAATTGTTAACAGCTGTAGAATTTATTTATTTATTTATTCATTGAACATATTTATACAGCATGGCATAATCAGGTGGGATGTAACAACCTGTTTTACATATGGTCCTGTTTTACGATACAAGATTACATTATATAAAATATCAAAAGTTTCATATTAATAAAATTGACAAGGACTTAATCAGAAATACGATAAAAATCTTAATCTAAATCACAGAATATTGTACACTGTATTTTTGTTAAAATACATTGAAAAAGTTAAAATCACAAGGTATGATAAAAGTATAGAATAAAAAAAGGATATTCAAAATCAGAATAGTCCTAAAAATGGCTGATATACAGTGTGCAAATTGCTATTGCACAACAATGTTTTGAGTTCAGAAAATGAAAATAATGAAAATGTGTTATTTGTCACAACAAAAAATATGTTTCTTTGATCATCCATACAGGTCGAAATTCAAAAGGAAACCCTAACACATTTGATAACCCGATTCGTGAGCTTTTGATCTGGTCGGTTCTACAAGGTCGTGAAGAAATGTCTCATTACTTTTGGGAAGAGTGTGAAGAGATGTTAGCTGCTGCCCTCACCTCCTGTATCATCCTCAAGAATATGTCGGAAAAAGAGGAGGATGTTGACCGTAAGGAGCACCTGTCTGAATTGTCAGAGTAAGGGGTCATTTGTATATAAAAAGGCTACAAAGTTTACAAGTCCACACAATGTACTATTTACCTGTAGCTTTTAGCTTGTAGCTAGTATTGAGTAAATGAACTATAAAATATGGAGCTCAAAAAATTGCCTAAAAATCCAAATTTGTTTTTCACTATAGATCAACAGTTTAATGCCTTATTAATCATGTCCCAAAGTATTAGTTCCGGAAATGGTCAACAAATTGTTTATATAACATTATTTTGATAGTTAATTCCCCGTCAGGGAAGACGATAAATTTTGTCGGGGAACAAACAAATAAAAAACAATATGTACATGTAATATTCGTTTAGCCACCATATTGTTTGTGTTAACTTTTCATCACAGCAACAACAACAACAACAACAATTACAATAATAATAATAATAATAATAATAATAATAATAATAATAATAATAATAATAACTCAATGAGACTAATTAAAAATAATTTGCGTTCTGTTATGACAAATGCTCATTTAGGTAGCTTCATGATGGTTGGAATACATCGTGATAGGTGAAGCAACCTCGACCATGACAGCGTGGTTGACAGATTTCATGCAAAATTTCCTAAATTCGAATTTCACTTTCAATAATGGGGATTTGAAAATAAATTAGATGGTTACATTGCATAAACTCTTTTTTTCTTGCTTTATTCAAAATGTTTTGGTTTTGGAAGCTGATTTCAACATTAGAAAACA